GTCCTTTCCCAAAGGTTGATATTGCTGATGGTGTCAGGCCATCGGATCCGGAGAATTCTTCTAAGAAAGATGTTGATGAAGGTTAGAACCTTCCTGATGGTCATCTTGGTCATCCTCCAGGTTTCAGCTCCATAAAGCAACACTGACTTCACGTTGGAGTTAAATAGGTGAATCTTTGTTGTCAAGGACAGGTCTCTTGAGCTCCAGATGTTCTTGAGCTGTACGTAGGCCACTCTAGCTTTGCCAATCCTTGCTTGACGCCTGCGTCTGTCCCGCCCTGTTGGTCAATGACACTGCCCAGGTAGGTGAAGGACTGAACTTCTTCCAGGGGACTTTCATTCAGCGTGACTGGTTCCTTGCTTGAGGATTTTATCTTTAGGATCTTGGTCTTATCTCTGTTTATGTTGAGGCCAATCTGAGATGAGATAGTTGACACTACATCTGTCTTCTCTTGCATCTGGTGTTTGTTGTGGGAGAGAAGAGCAAGGTCATCAGCAAAGTCCTCGAACTGGGTCCACGAGGTCCACTGGATTGCGTTTTTTCGCTCTCTTGTGGCTTCCTTCATAACCCAGTCAATGGCAAACAGGAACAGGAAGGGTGACAGCAGGCACCCTTGTCTTACACCAGTTTTCACCTGGAAGATGTTAGTGAGCTGCCCTCCATGGATGACTCTACAAGACATTCCATCATAAGATTTTCTTATCAGGTTGACCAACTTAACTGGGATGCCGTAGTGTGGAAGGAGCTTCCAAAGGGTCTCTCGATCCAAGCTGTAAAATGCCTTCTCATAGTCGACAAAGTTGATCAACATTCCACTCGAGGGACTGTGATGCGGATTGTTGCGATCTGGTCAGTGCATGATCTATTCTGCTGGAAGCCTGCTTTTTGATCTCGAAGATGTGTGTCAGCAATGTCTTTCATTCTCTCCAGGAGGATCCGATTGAAAACCTTTCCTGGTACAGACAGAAGTGTAATGCCTCTGTAGTTGGCACAATTGCTGAGGTCACCTTTTTAAGGGATCTTTACCAGGTATCCATCTTTCCAGTTTGTCAGAATCTCCTCTTCTTCCCAGATCATCTCAAAGAGAGGATACAGCATCTCCACTGATGCATCCAAGTCTGCTTTCAGGGCCTCTGCTGGGATGTCATCAGGTCCAGCCCCCTTCGCATTCTTCAACCCGAGTGATGGCTTTCTTGATTCCCTCTCTGGTTGGCTTGTTACAGTTGATGGGTAAGTCTGAGATGGCTGGGTCGATGTTTGGTGGATTTGGTGGAGCTGGTCTATTCAAGAGTTGTTCGAAGTGCTCTGCCCACCTCTTTATGTGCTGTTCGATCTCTTTGATGGTCTTTCCCTTTTTGTCCTTGACAGGTCGCTCTGGCTTGCTGAACTTTCCAGACAGTCGCTTGGTGATGTCATACATTTGTTTCATATTGCCGTTGTATGCTGCCTGCTCTGCTTCAGCTGCCAGTCCACTCACATAGTCTTTCTTATCCTTCTTGATACTCATTTTTACTGCTTTGTTTGCTTTTGGATAATCTATTTGAGCCTGGGCTTTTGCTGCTCTAGTCCTACTGCTATTGACTGCCGCTTTCTTCTTCTTTCTATCCTCTATCTTGGTCAAGGTCTCCACAGTAATCGACTCTTTACGCAGGTGTTTTCTGACTCCGAGTACTTCCTGGCATACTGATCTGAGTGCCTATTTCACTGGCTGCCATCTACAGAGTATTTTGTCTTCTTCTTCTTCATGCAGTTCTTCCAGTACTTCAAACCTGTTCCTAAGCATCAGTCCGAACTCTGCTCTAGTTTTGGGGTCCTTCAGAAGGCTGATGTTATATTTCACTCTTTTATCAGCCATGGCTGTCTAGTTCTTCTTCAATTTCAGCTTCATTCTGGCCACCACCAGGTGATTGTCTACTCCTCTTCTAACTCTAACATCCTGCAGGGATGTCCTAAACTTCTTACTTATACAGATGTGATCTATCTGATTCTCTGTCTTGCTGTTTGGAGATCCTCAGGTGCACTTGTGGATCCGTTTGTGGGGAAAGATGCTACCTCCAATGACCAGGTTGTTGATTGCACACATGTCTGCAAATCTCTCTTCATTCTCATTCATAGTTCCCAGTCCGTGAGTCCCCATGACCTGCTCATATCCTGTGTTATTGGATCCAATCTTGGCATTGAAGTGAAGGGGGTGGATTGGAATCCACTGCTGCTTCAATGTATATGTAATAAGTGATTATAATCGAGGTATTAATCAATATTTTTCCTTCTAAATATCAAATGAGTTGAATGACTTCTCTGGAGATTTTACTTTGTTATAGAAGTTACCAGTGTGATTACTGAAATGTTCTTTTCATGTATTCTTTAATGTCTGTTTTTGATATCTGAATGCAGTAACAGTGCTTGCTTTAATTAGCCCGGCTTCCAGAAATGAAACAGGGACTTGTTTTGTGTTTGAGAAAGGTCTTCAACGTGTTAAAACATATAGGGGTCATTGAAGTCAATATAAGGGATCATTTCTTTGTTAAAGCCTTACTTTGCAGTTAGACCAAAGTGTAGCTCTCCTTGAGAGAAAGAACGCATTATCTTGATGTTTTGAGAGGACTCTCCTGTTTATAGTTAGAGCCTGGCCAAATCCAACCTTGGAAAAGCTGTGTGTCGGTGTGTGTGTTAGTCTTCTTGGTTGCAGGTTAAGGAACCACTGGCATTATTGGAGATTGACTGAGTTGTTGTTCTGGACATGTTGGCGCCCAGCAACCCAAATCTGCGACCTGAAAAGTCATGACGTGCCTAACTTCAGGGTCCGAGTGTCAGCTGCATAATTGATGGAGATATGCTTCAGTGTATCTGTATATGTGTGGAGAATTACAATGTTTATCTATTTCTTAGCCAATGAGAATCATTCAACCTGTAAGCAATGACGTTGCTTAGACCTTGGAAATGGTATAACTGCTGTGATCTTAGGCGTAGGCGGGGCGGCCTACGAACTCCTGTGTGAGTCTTGAAGCTGACTTCTGCTGATGAACCTGCAAACTATTCTTCAGTAAATTTGTACCTATTTGATTGAACCTCACGACTCCTGGTCTTCTTTCATCATATCTGGTCCTGCGTCTTTAAACTGTAAATCCCCTTACAGAAGTGAGGGGATCTCGCCCAACTCTCCTCCTTTATCCTGACTTGAGACAGGCAGTTAGATCTAATAGATCCAACTGGTGGAGTTACAAATACTACTGGTCAAATATTACTCCATTACAAGTAAAAGTTGTAAAGACAGATTTTTACTTAAGTAAAAGTACGTACTCGTTTTTAAAAGTACTTAAAGGGTTAGTTCACCCAAAAATGAAAATTATGTCAGTATTTATCACCCTCATGTTGTTCCAACCCCGTAAGACCTTCGTTCATCTTCGGAACACGAATTAAGATATTTTTGATGAAATCTGAGAGCTGGATAATTCCTCCATACTAGTCCATAGGCTTCTTCAGGGATCGAACTTGCCGGCCTCGAAAAGTTATTAAAGACATCGTTAAAATAGTCCAAGTGACTACAGTGGCTCAATCTTAAGTTTATCAAACGAAGAGAACACTTGTGCGTAGTTAGGTCTTACGGCCGTTAACCGTTCTCTGACAAGCGGATGCAATGAGACCCGGTTTCCGATTTGGTCACGTGACGCTCGAAAAGTGTACTTATGTACAGTACAGTACTCAAGTAAATGTACTTTGTTAACTGTCCACCTCTGGATATTGCTTTAACTCTTCAGAGGAAAGAGAAACATGTAGAGCAGTAACAATTTATTCATTGATGGGATGTTTATTTTTCCAAAGTATAGCTATAGTCCTTCAAGAAAACTGACACTGACTCTACCTAAATGATTTCACCTTAAAAGCTGTAATGTATTTATTTTTTATATTGGAATGAGATTTGACTGATGGAAACTGTAATGTGATAAAAAAAAAAATCATCTAACCATGTATAGGCTAATCTAACTAGAGCCATTGAAAGATTGCAGAGCACAAAGACTGAATGCAATCTCCTTGTGTTCTGTATTAATGTAATGAACATTAGACTATTCTTATTACTGTTCAACAATTTTTACAATGTGAAAAAGCCCTATGTGCTATGGCTGAAGTAATATATTGTCTTGTTTTCCAAACTTTGGCTTTAAAAAGGGGGTTGTGACATAATACAAGACAAAGAAGCCCTTGGAGCCACTCCATGCTGTTCTTATGGAATTTCAGTGAAGTTAAAGGAAGGTTAACTGGAGTCACTGCGTGATAGTGAACTGCATTAAGTTGGCTTTGTCAAATTGAAAACAATGAAACTGCACAGCTGGAATGAATAGGTTGGGCTGTATACTTCATTTTCATAGTTGTTTTATTGAAGATGTTAAATGTAACTGAAAAAATTAATCTGAATAATGTGCTATAGATATTTCTCTTCTGTAGTGATGCTGTGAGGTATTGGAGAAAAGTCCTGTGTCATCGCGAAACACTATTTCTCTTACAACACTGAGGTCAGCGGTTTAGCATTCTACCTCCCTCACAGCAGCAGAGAGGAGCTGCATCACCGGTCCCATCTAGAAAAGGGGAATTAAACTTGTCCAACCAGATGTATTCTGTATTAAAGAATGGCTGTGTGCTGACACACTCATTTCTCGCTTGAACCATTGTCTCATTATAAAGTAAAAATTAAACCACTCCTTCGCCCGCTCTCATGACAAAATATGAATCCTACTATGGGTAAGGTTTATGAATATTAATGACGCAAGGACGACGACGCTTCCATGCGTCCAGCCAAATACCCTAATTAATATTCATGAGCGAAGGTTTTCATTCGTAAATTGTTAGCTGTCTCTCCAACGTCTGCCTTTCAGCAAATCATTTTGCTCTACGTCTCGTTACGTCATTGATATTCATAAGTCAAGTTCAGCAAATCATTTCGTGCTACTGGCACAAGCGTCTCGTCACGTAATTAATATTCATGACCCAAGCCTTCACCGTAGTATGTTTCTGAAAGTGTCAGCCTGACCGGGTGGAGAATGCAGTGGTCAAGGGCGCCGTTTTTATCATTTCTTTTCTCTAATACCTCTTCAATGGACAAATGATGGAAACTTCCAGTTGTACGTATATTCGTTTGATGATTTAAATGAAAGGAAAACTCTGAAACAAGTTTAATTTCATCATTACACGGAGAAGGTTTCTTCCGGACTATTTTGGTTATCAACGCTGGATTTTGTTGTGGATACCCTGCCCTGTTCAACCTTGTGCCGCCAATGACAAGTTCAGCGCCGCTTAACATCCACCTCACTTTTACACGACCACTATGGTGCTATGGGAATCAATGAAGTGGACGAATATATGTAATTTCCTAGCAGCATCCCAGTCCTTCAGCATCGGAATCTGTTGAAGCCGGTTTAACCTGTCCTGTACTTGCGTGTCAAGTGTACCGAAATAACTTACTTTAAACAATAAACATCATTGCTGAAATATTCTTCCTGGACTAAGAAACAACATTTAAAGCCTGGTAAATCCTGATATTTTATAACTCATTACAGTGCACATTTCATATAATATCATTTGGATGAAATCCTGTATTTGCATAGCCACTGGTCTTTTCCCTGATAAACAAACCACAATGAATTCCCATTGCTGGTTTGGCGTTGGTCTTCTCTAGATGGTGGACCATGAGCAACATGAAGCTGCTTGACCTAGGGAGACTTTCTGGTTAATAGGAATGGTTTACTTAAAAATGAAAATTCTGTCATCATTTACTCACCCTCAAGTTGTTTCAAACCTGTATGAATTTCTTTCTTCTGCTGAACACAAAAGAAGATATTTTAAAGAATGTCGGTAACCAGACAGTTGATGGACCCCATTGACTTCCATAGTAGGAAAAAAAATACTTTGGTTTGAATGGTTACCGACATTCTTCAAAATAGAAGAAAGCAGAAGAAAGAAATTCATACAGGTTTGAAAACAACTTGAGGGTGAGTAAATGATGAAAGAATTTTTTATTTTTTAGGTGAACTAGCCTATTCCTTTAACTATGCTGGAGTCTTTTTAACAGGGTGGTCACTTTGTGTTTATTTGGGATATTTATCAAAGTTTAAGATTGAAGTTGAATGAAATACAGTACACATTCTCTCAACTTTTACATTTTGACAGAAATCCAAGATGACATCGGCGATCAGCCAAGTGTCATTGAGTGAACTGCCCATGGATAACTGGATGGCAAATCTGCCCAGTGCACTGTGGGATACACCTCTCTGTTACATGGCTATTCCAGGTATTTAACCTCACTTTTTCATTTATATGTTCACTAACTGCATGCAAAATCTTTTTTTTAATATGCACCTCTGAGTACTGAAAAATATTTTTGTGGGGATTTGACTTTTTTTTTCTTTTTTCTTAAGTGCCCTCAATGATAGAATTTTTATGGTTTAAATTTAATATAAATCCACAGCTATATTATGAAAGTGTGGATATTGTTATTTTTGGAGGGTGCCATTACTTGATGAGTGACCGGAGTTCCAATTTCTGAGTAACTGCAGTGCATACCTTAATTTTATTTTATTTATTTTATTTTTTTACAGTCTGCTTATATTTACTTATAGTTTAGTTCATTACCATTAATGCTCATGGTCAATGTGTCATTGTCATTGTTGTGGGTTGTAGGGAGCCATAATGCCATAACCTACTGCCTGGATAAGAATGACCGCTCTCCAGTGGACCGCACTCAACCAGATATGTTGCAAAAGCTGGACAAGTACATGAAACCCATCATCAGGCCATTTGTATACAAATGGGCAATAGCACAGGTACGTAGTTATGATCTGATTGTGGTTATTTGATCTAATTGCAATTATTTGAGTTAACTGCAATAAGTGTGAAGTTAACATTTTAATCATGTTTTGCCTTCCAAATAAGGGAAATTATATTGCAGCTACATAATATTCTATTATAAATAACTAATTATATAAATATTATTAATTAGATTAAAGTAAAGTATTTAAGGGAAACAATAAAAATAATGAAGACTGTAAAATAAGTTATAGGTCTAATTGTAGTTGTGAAGTGATTTAAAATATTTGTAATTATATCTTATTTTTATTATATATTTTATTATTTGTACGACAAGTAATTGTCAGTTAAAAATTCATAATCGTAACAGGCTTGGTTTGTTGTCACTGTCTTCGGATAGTGTATTTGCATTTTTTTGATTAGTCATAATTTCACAATCTCCATTATATGTTTCTGTATTTTCCATTCAATTACTTGGAACCATTTTACAATTGGTCAATTACACGAACAAATAGTAAACTGTCTGGGTTCATTGAAAACCTTGGTGTTCTTCATATGTTGAAATACAAAAATCATTAATACTAAATCAGAGAAGGCATGATCAAATTCTTTATATCCAACAATTTTGAATGTCACATTAAAAACAAAACAAAAAACAACGACAACAAGTCCATAATGGCTAAACACGTAAAAGCTGAAATAAATGCAGTTATGTTGGGTATGGTATCCCTCACGAGGTTATAGAGCAATTTATGTCAGCATGCATCAGCAGATTCCTGTAGAGCACGAGTCTCTGAAATCTATCAGCATGAGAGGCAGTACATTGCCGTCTGTTGTCATGGAGAAATCAATCAAAGACTCAGCTTTGCTACTGTGATAGCTTTGAAAGCACAATTAGATGGAATAGTTATGACAAAAGTAACATTGGTGGATGAGCATTGTCCCAAATCTATAGGATTATTAGGATAGATTCAAATCAATATAGATACAGTTACGTATTTACGTACATATATGGTTACTGGGTATGTCACTTTCAATGGTTTCACTCACATTGTTTGTCTCCAGCTTGCTGTTTAGCACTATCTTTACTGCACCTGCATTGTTAATGAATGTGCTTTACATTATTTACCATAGGAGTCTTGCATTAGGGAGCAGTTAGATTGTGGAGTGCGATACTGTGACCTGAGGATAGCACATAGGCCTAATGACAGATCAAATGATCTCTACTTCTACCATGGTGTTTATACCACTATGACTGTGGAGGTAAGACTGAAAACAATTGATCGAACAAAAGATGTACATTTAAAAGACTGCCAAGGCGTTTAATGATTTAAAATATAGCATAACATTTCCCAGTATCTGTTTGTTGTGTATTTTGATATGTGCAGTGTAGTTCTAATTTGTTAGAGTTTGATGTTTGAAGAATAGAACTAAATGCTTTTTAATTGAATCAAACTAATTTATTGTGTTATTTCAGAAAGTATTAAAAGAGATCAGAGAGTGGTTGGATGTTCATCCAAAGGAGGTAGTCATCCTCTCATTTAGCCACTTCCTTGGCCTCAATCAAGAGCTTCACACACTGCTTGTCTCAACTATAAAGAGTGTTTTTGATTCCAAACTCTGCCCCATAATGGTATGTATCAATCAATCAATCAATAAAAAAAAATAGATGATGGGAGCTATATATATACAATATAAGTAAAACTATATTTCCAATGCATTATGGAAATATACTTCTGATTTTTCTGTCAGGACAGTGTGACATTACGGACATTGTGGAGCCAGGGTCATCAAGTTATCGTTTCATATGAGGACAATATTGTCAACAGGCACAGAGAATTGTGGTTTCATATACCTTATTGGTGGGCCAACAAGTGCAAGGCTGAAGCGCTGATCGAGGAATTTGAACGTAGAAAACAAAATGGCCGGCCAGGTAATCCTTAATAATATGCCATGAATGAATGAATGATTTTATTCATTACTTTATTACTTAATAAAAAAATCATCCATGGAAAAGTGAAAAAGTTTTCTCGGATAATAATTCATAAGCTGTTATTTTATCAATTATGCTCTTGATAAAAGAATCATCTTTGGAAAAGTGAAATGATTCCTGTAACAGTAACTCATGAGCTTTTATTTTATTGATAAAACGATCATCCTTTGAAAAGTGAAAATGTTTCATGTAGCAAAAATTCATAAGCTATTATTTCATTAATTGTTGTCTTGATAATCTTTGGAAAAGTGAAATGTTTCCTGTAACAGTAACTTGTTTTTTAATATTTATTTATTATTATTGTATTTTATTCTCTTGACAAAACTATCATTCTTGGAAAAACGAAATGTTTCCTGTAACAGTAACTAATAAGCTTTTATTTTATTTTATTGATAAAACGATCATCCTTAGAACAGTGAAAATGTTTCCTCGAAAAATAATTCGTAAGCTATTATTTTATTAATTATTCTCTTGCTAATCTTTGGAAAAGTGAAATGTTTCCTGTAACACTAACTTGTTTTTATTATTTATTCATTATTTATTATTTTATTTTACTCTCTTGATAAAACTATCATCCTTGGAAAAGCTAAATGTTTCCTTAAACATGAACTCATAAGCTTTTATTTAATTTTCTTGACAAAACTGTCATTCTTGGAAAAGTGAAATTAAACCTCAGTTTCCATGCACACCATTTTCCAACAGGCGGATTTTTTGTGACTGGCATCAATCTTACTGAAGATCTGAAGTACATATGCTCCCATCCCACAGAATCACTGAAGGATGTGGTGATGTCTACATATCCCACGTTACTCAGCTGGGTCGAGCAACAGAAGCCTGGCTCTAACCCCGGCTCCCTCAACATCATAGCTGGGGACTTTGTGACAGAGAGACAATTCATACCTACCGTTATTGCACTGAATGAAAATCTGCTCAACAGGACCATAATACCAGAGCCTTGACCCTCTTTAAGCTTGCACAATGTATTTAAGATTTAAAGAATGAAGTGCTTCTCGTTCTTGTGATGTTTTTATACTAGTCAACTTTGCTCTTTTTTTATAAGGGTGCTTACACTATAGAGTTTATGCTGCGTCAGCTCCATTAATTTCAATAGTTATGGTGCATTGTAAGGACTTTCCTTACCCTCAAAATGGATGCTGTCCATCAAACGCTCCATCGTAGAGCTGTATCTAGTGTGTAAGCACCCTGAGGGTGATAGATAATTTTGAGTTATGGGTAGAATAATGTAATGCACTGACTTTTATGACTTGAATTTACTGTCTTAAGCTTATTTATGCAGTCTCCAATATATACCTCTGATTTTGCAAAAATGTTGATCATTTTTAAGGTTCCAACATGTCATGATCAAGGTCCCGGTTACCTTACCACAACTTTACGTACAGTACAGCACCAGACACAAGCACATTACAGGACACAATAAGTTCCCTGGGAGTTTCACAGTTTGAAGTTTGCATGAGAATTGCTGAATACTACTCACTGCAAGCCTCAAATAGGATTATAAAACACTCAGGATTGTTCATTTTTTATGATCTATGCTCTTTTCAACTTTCTACTCTGTGATGGCAAAGGAAATATGATTCAAATAAGTACATGTCTGCATGGTGCACACAATCAAAAGCATGAAGAGACACTGGTATATTTCTGTGGTTGCACATACTGTATGTTCTCTGCCATAGTAGCATGCAATTTAAACCAGTTTAATCATGATATCAGTTTGCTTTACAAACAAATATGCTTACTAAACAATATCAGCAGTTGAATGGAATATAAAATATTCACATTTAATATTTGAAGATTTCCAATCAATAAAACATCTAACTATATTCATTCAATTGTTTGTATTTCTTTTTTTTTCTTTACTGTTTTCACACATATATATTTTTTTTCTTTTTTTTTTCTTTTTCTAATTCCTTAAAGAGATTTCAATATCCAACAAATTTGTCAAAGTCCTTCAGGCTGTTCTGGTTTAATGTTTGTTGTTGATGGTTTGAATTTGTCTTTCTGGTTTTGGAAAAGTTATTTTAGTTTTGAGACTTGCCCTCAAAGAATAAATACCCAATGCAGTTAAATACCTATTATAATACTATTTATGCTGTGTTTGAGTTTCAGTGTAAAATTAATAACAACAGGTGAGTTATTAATACTGAAGGATTCTCTGATTCTATCAGCACCCAAACAAAAAGAATCACACAAGAGAGAGCAAGAATTAGCTGACATAGAAAGCGGTGTTAAACTATGCTTTGTTCTATTGATTATGGACTCTGCTGAAAGCCTTTAGTCAAAGTTAACCCTTGATAAAGGGGTTTTGTGTCTCTATCCAGCTCAAAGATGATAAAATGATGAAAGGTCACCAGATTTCCAAACCACAGTTTGAAATAACATGTTGAAAAATTAGAGAGAGAGAGAAAAAAAGAAAACGAAACTAAATGATTATTTTATTGCCAAATTATGTCTAACGGTAATAAAAGACTTTAATGTTCTGGTAAAATTTGATTATGGTAAAAAATAAATAAATTAAACAACAGGATGGAAAAAGGAGCGTAGACAATGATTATGGGGGTTGACAGCTTTGAGAACGTCGACTTTATAGGCCTATTTTTTTTAATGATTTTTTTAAAAAAAATTTACCGATAGCTGTAGGCTAATTTTGATTAGAAAAATATAAAACAACTGCAATATGCTTAATAAATTGTCAGTTTTTTTTTTATCTAAAAAATTAGTAAAGTAGCCTATCCGGTAACGTGCGTGGCTTTTGTAATGTGATAAAAGAAAAATCTAATTTTTATCTTTTGTGTCTAATATTTTATCCAAAATATCTACACTTAGGCAATGCAAATGTACTGCAGAACAGGAATGACCAAGAATTCTATCAAGTAGCCTAAAGGAAAATATGTTTTTGGGCGGTTTTAACAACTCTTGAACGAAAAAGCCAATCAGCTGTAAAGCGCGAGAGACTGAAGCAGCAGGGAACAAGGAAATACAGAGCTAGCACGTCAAGAGTCTTTCAGTTTCATGTCAATCATAACACGTCCAAAAGACTTTTATTTTCGTAGAAAAATGAGTTCACTAACCGATGTAGAACACATTTAAAAAGAGTTGGGCTTTGAGCCTCGTTATCGATGGTGTGTTATCTGTTGTTTTGCTCAAACACAGGCGGTTTCAGCTGATCAACTCATTTTGTTTAAAACGCAGCCAGAGGCATTTGTGAATAGCTACTGGAAACTCCGGTAAACTGATGGATCACATTAAAGAGGCTGAAATGAAATACGAGGAATGGATGTCATGTTTGCCAGAGAAACTGTGGGATGTCCCTTTAACAAATCTCTCAATACCAGGTGAGTGAGACCCTGTGGAACGACAAGGGAAGTAAAAAAAAAAAAATTAACGATGTTAACATGTTAATATGTTATTATTATAAATGTTATTATTTAAACATATTATGCCATTTTTAATATTTTACCATTTCTTTAAAGTCACCATGAAAGCAAATTTTATGGGATAGAATTGTCGGATAGCCTACTTTACTATTAACAAAACCGGAATTATTATAGGCTAAATGATTTATCCGTAAACATCATTATTTAAATTAATCTGCCCTCATAATCTTTAACCAAAATAACTTCCCGCCTCTTGCTACACGGCTCTTCTCTGATGACCTGATTATTGGCATGAGGGCGGGACCACCTGTCAATCACTTGGGATCACAGCAATAGCAAATGAGATGGACAAAAAAAATCAAGTCCATTCCTACATTTCATTTATCCTACCATTATTATATAAATTACTGCATAATATATAGTTCATTACTTTCCAAATTATCATTCTGAAAATCAAAACACACATCAAATACAGTTTTCTATTAATTACATTTCTTTATCTTTTCTAAATAATCTTGAGTAGATACAGTAATAAAACAGATGCAAAATAGTCTATTTTTCCTGTCCACAAAATTCACAGGGATATTAAAATTCTTTCCAAAACATTTGTTTTCAGGTAGCCATGATGCAATGAGCTACTGTTTGGATATCACTTCTCCTCTGCTCCGGTCAGAGTCAGACACCTTCCGGTTGCTGGATGGAGTTTTCTGCTGTTTCACCCGACCAGCTATTTACAGATGGGCCACTACTCAGGCAGGCATATAGCTCAAATATTGTATTATTTTGACTTCTTAAAATGCCTAATATTTCATAGTAGAGATACAACAAGTGTTTCTCCCATTGCGCTCAGTGTCAATATTTGTTGTAAAAATTCAGGCATTTTTACATGAGAAATGTATTTGTAACAAAAAAAATTGTATCAAAGCCCCTTATTGTATTGCAAGCAGGTGCAAGACATTGTGGAGCAACTTACAGCAGGCATTCGATACTTTGATCTTCGAATTGCCCATAAACAATATGATTCTTCCAAAGAGCTTTACTTCACTCATGTCATTTACACACATGCGACCGTCATTGTAAGTATATGCACATGTTGAGATGAATTAGCGATTTAAGTCTGCCATTTTATTCTTTATTTTGTGTATTTTTTTGGCTTTTATAAACATGTTTTGTTTTATAGAAAACTCTACAGACAGTTGCTTCATGGCTTGAATCTCATCCTAAAGAAATCGTCATTCTGGCTTGTAGTCATTTTGAAGGGCTGGATCATAAACTGCATGAGGAATTCATCTATTCTCTGAAGAAAATCTTTGGCCCTAAGCTGTGCCCTCGCAATGTAAGAAACCATTTGGAATTACAAACACAACATTTTTCCTTAATATAATTCTGATTGTATGATTAATACTCTACAGGTCAAAAGATTAGAATAATTATGATTTTTAATGTGTTTGAAAGAAGTCTGGTAGGTTTACCAAGGCTGCATCAAAAATACAGTAAAACCAGTAATACTGTGAAATAATAATATTACAATTTAAAGGAACCGTGTTCTATTTTAATCTCTTTTAAAATGTAAATTATTTCTGTGATGCAAAGCTGAATTTTCAGCATCATTACTCCAGTTGTCAGTGTCACATGAACCTTCAGAAATCATTCTAATATGCTGATTTAGTGTTTAAGAAACATTTCTTATTATTAATAATGTTGTAAACAGTTGTGCTGCTTAATATTTTTGTTAAAACCATGATACACTACCATTCAAAAATTTGAGGTAAACAGGGACACTTTCAATTGATCAAAAGTGACCATAAAGATATTTATCATATTACACAAGATGTGTGTCAAATAAATGCTGTTCTTTTGAACTTTTTATTCATCAAATAATCCTGGGGAAAAAAGCATCACGGTTGTTTCAACAAATAAATTAAATGTCAAAAACTATTTTCAACATTAATACCAATAATAATTGATAATAAATTAGCACCAATAATAATGGATAATAAATGAACACCAAATCAGCATATTAGAATGATTTCTGAAGGATTATGTGACACTGAAGACTGGAGTCATGATGCTGAAAATTCAGCTTTGCCATGACAAGAATAAATGACATTTTAAAATATATTAAAATAAAAAATCCAGATATTTCATTGTACAAATGTATGTTCAATATTATTGTCAACATTACTGTTTTTACTGTATTTTTAAATAAATAAATGCAGCCTTGGTCAGCAATCTTTTTTTTAAAAACGTAAAAAAATTCCTGATCCCATCCCCCTCTCTCTGTCCCACTTTGCTTCCTGTGCTATCATAATAAAGGCAAAAACCCCAAAAATAAATCTTTAAAAAACAATTATTCCAAAATTTCAGTAAAATACATTAACTTGGGATTAAAAATGGTAAGAGTCAGACTGTTAACCCAAAGGTTGCGGGTTCAACTCTCTATACCGGGCAGGAAATGACTGAGGTGTCCTTGAGCAAGGCACCAAACCCCCAATCGCTCCCTGGGATTATTTCTTTCATATTTTTAAAGGAGTTCCCACTGACCTTGCGGAGCCTGTGGACATCAGGCTATCAAGTAGTTCTATCATATGAGGACCACCAGTCAGCAGCACGCCATGTGGAGTTGTGGAATGCTATCCCGTACCTTTGGGCCAATAAGCCTGATGCAGAAGAGCTGATCCAGTATCTTGAATGGCATAAACAGCATGGTCGACCTGGTGAGAGAAGCTTTAAAAAAAAAGAAAAAAAAAAAGAAGATGGTTCCACATACTTCTAGTCTTAAATATCTGGTCTCTGATCAAAATATTTCTATTGCGCAGAGGGGTTTTTCGTAGCAGGCCTGAATTTGACGACAGATCGATGCTTCATCGCCTCGCACCCTCGGACATCTCTCCAAACTCTGACCCTGGACAATTGGAACTGTGTGAGGAAATGGCTAGAAGATCAGAAACCAGGAGCTGAACGCACAAGTCTAAACATAATAGCAGGCGACTTCATTGGACCCGTCCCATTTTGCTCTCTTGTTATTGCACTCAACAAGAAACTGCTGTAATCAAGGAGTTGTTGAAACACAATGCGTTTAGATTCAAGGTCTTTTAGGCGTTGTTCACAAACCCAGAGTTTACAGCCTAAAGGCGGGTACACACTGTACGATTTATAATAGTCAATTAACGACTGTTGTTTGTCAGTCAGACTGTACAAACATGATCCTCGCTGTAAGTCATGTCACACTGTATGATCTCAGTTGTAATTAACGTCAGAATGTACGGCAGTCAAGATGCGTTAAAACCTGGAGGCACGCAAGCAGGCTCATCCAGAGTCAGCTGGTTTTAGCTGGTATCCCAGGCTGGTTTTAGAGGGGTTTTGGCTACTTTTTTTAGCTATTTGCTTGATGTGTGGAGCAAGTGGTGGTTTGTTGACTCTCATTAATTGCGTCATCAGGTTCGGCGCTCCTATTGGTTGCTGATTTGACGGTTGTCGTAGGAGAAGCCACTGCCAGAATTTCGTCGGAGGTCAAATTTGACCGCAATGGTCATTAATTGGCCGTCGGTGAACATGTCAAACTAGCAAATAAAGACTTCAGATTTTGGCCTAGGATCCGAGAAATCTTTTAGGATTCACAAAATTAGTCTCAGATGGCAAAATCGTACAGTGTGAACCTGTCTTAAAGGTATGCAGGTTAATGCCTGAATGTTAGTGCAATATTTAATCCTCTAGGTGTTTACATATGCCTTTTACTGTATCATGCTGCTTAATAAAAAAAATGTTGATAGACAAAATACATGTATTTTATAACAATATTGTTTATTTTAACACAAAGCAACTTTGCTTCCTAATGTCGGATTTTATTGTCGTAAAATATAGGTTTTTGAGATATTTTAAATACACTGTTTATAGAGCAAATAAATATTTACACATCATTATTGTGTGAATTATTTTGGACGATGTCGTTCTGGCTGTGAAACAGGGGCCAGCTGTAACTAGGTGACCTGAAACCGCTTCCTGTATCGGCCATAAGCAGCTTGGCTAATGATGACTTTGACATTGGCAGTGCAGTCATCTCCAACATCATCTACCGCCTGAACCGTCGCCTCCTTATACAGCCAACTGTAAAGGGCAAAGGGCAGCACATTAGCAAGTCTGTGGATAAAATAATTTAATCCATTATTCATTTTTACTTAACTCACGCTAATTGAGGGGTGTTGAGCTGCACCTTGAGGGTCATTGTTTGTTTTCCGGTATACTTAACAACAGCTTCTTCAATCTTTTCTTTTAACACCTCCAGTCCATGCTGTTTAAGAGCTGATATGGGGGTAACCTCAGGATCACTGGCCTCGTATCTGTAAAATGTATATAAACATATTTATTAAATAATAATAATAAAATATCTCGCTCATGCAAAATGTCATTGCCTGTGAGTTGCTATATGTGGTTACTAAAGTGTAAGTGGTTTAAAAAAAAGAAAAATGTAAATCTCCTGTCACATTATATAAGGCATCATTTACAACTGTAGCATAAAATTCAAGGTGAGTTATGTTTGGAAGTTTAATACTTAAGGCCCTTGCACACCGAGTCCGAAATTTTCGTATGCGTTTTTTCGTATTCGTGATTCGGTGGCTCTGAATTGTCAAAATACCATTCAAACACCATTCAAACTGTTTGCTACGGATGCGAAAAACGCATTTTTTATGACGGACGAAAGTTTCGGAGGCAGTGTGCAAGCATGATTGACATAGCGGTGAGTTTGTATTTATTTTTTAACGTGCGAAAATTTCGGATGCGAATATCTGACTCAGTGTGCAAGGGGCTTTAGGGTTTGAAAATAGTATCAGCAATATTGATTGTTTTAGCAAGCTCCACTAATAATAAAATTAATGGTAACACTTTAATGTTACACGTTACTATATTATGTACTTACTATATTAACAGTAAGTTATGCATAATTACACATAACTAACCCTAAACCAAACCCTAACTCTATAGTAAGTACATATAGTTAATTAATATTACTTAGTACTTAGAGTAAGTACAATGTAACTACGTCACCTTAAAATAAAATGTAACTATTCCTTACTAAATGACTGACTTTGTCTCTCACCCTTCAATGAGGTCGATCTTATTGTGCACCTCTATTATGGAGTTGAGTAGTCTTTCTGGAATCTGAAGATTCTTTAGGACATTCAGAACATTAACCTTTTGATTCACAGTTTCTGGATGACTGATGTCTCTCACATGAATTATGAGGTCCTGCAAAAGGAGAGGGTGTTAAAACTTCTGTAACACTTTACTAAAGCCTTTATATACAATATCATGTGTTATAGAAGTATTTTTAATGCATTCATTATGTCTTGTAATGCATTGTATGGTCTCATGAATAATTGTAACCACAGTTATAATACTTATCTGTTCATTGAACACACCTTTGGAAACTATAATGCATTAAAACACATGACAAACAACCAATTTCAGATGTAACAAGTAATCTGCACATAGTATAATGATGCATTTTAACTTTGGTTACAATTATTTATGAAAAGGTATAATGCATTCACTGATCTATATAAATGTATCTAGATTAGTGAATGCATTATAAGATACATTACGAATACCTTTAAAATGCATTATACATCAAGCCTTTAAGTAAAGTGTTACCAAACTTTCTATGACATCGCTAAAAATAAAAAGCTTTTTAGTGTTGTGTTTTGGGTACATACAGAATGTGTCACATCCTCCAGTGTGGCAGAGAAAGAGTCAATAAGCTGGTGAGGGAGCTGGGACAAAAAGCCAATGGTGTCTACAAACAGTACAGTCATGTGACTTGGCAGCTGTCCGGCATGTACTGTAACATCCAGGGTGGCAAAGAGCTGGTCTTTAGGCTGAAGACCAGCATCTCCAGTCAGTGCTTTAATCAGAGTTGTTTTACCTTCAGAAACAAAGACTATTAATGTGTTTCTTACAATCTCATATAACAGATTAACAAGTTAATATTTATCCAAACCTCACCACAGTTGGTGTAGCCCATGACAGAGATGGTAGGAAAGTCTTTGTGTTTGCGCTGGGAGCGCAGCAGGTGCCTCTTCTTCCTAAGTCGCTCCAGGGCCGATCGGATCTTCAGCTCCCGCTCCTTCAACAACCTCTGTTGCATTTCATACAAGGTTTCACCTGCAGACAACAGTCTGCATGTATTTAGTTCCAGTTAAATACATTAACCTGAGATTAAAAATGGCCCTGGATTAACAGTTTCTTTACCTGAGCCCATAATGTACCTTGAGCCGCCACCTTGCTGGTCTAAGTTTGCCATTTCATTTCTCAGGCATGATCTTATTGTGTTCAAACAAAAAAAATATGTTAAATCTGTGTTTGGTGTTACTTATTAGTGTAATATGAAAGTAATTAGACCAGACTAATAATCACCAAACTGGACAAAATAAAACTCCCTCATTGGCTTTCATTGTGTCACAAGGTACACTACCGTTCAAAAATTCGGGGTTAGTAAAGAATTTTAAAAAAAGAAAGTAAAACTTTTTTTTAGCAAGGATGCATTCAATTGATCAAAAGTGACAATAAAGACTTTTATAATGTTACAAAAGATTTCTATTTCAAATAAATGCTGTTTTGAACTTTCTACTCATCAAAGAATTCTGAAAAAAATGTATCACAGTTTCCACAAAAAATATTAAGCAGCACAACTGTTTTATATATATATACATATATATATATATATTGATATTAAGAAATGTTTCTTGAGGACCAAATCAGTATATTATAAATCTGAAGGATCATGTGACACTGAAGACTGGAGTAATGACAGCTAAAAATACTGCTTTGCCATTACAGGAATAAATACAATTTTAAAATGTATTTAAAAAACAGTAAATTGTAATAATACTTCACAGTATTGCAGTTTTTACCGTATTTTGATCAAATAAATGCAGCCTTTGTGAGCATAAGAATGTTAATTCAAAATTTAAAAAGTACTAAGTTAACCTTAAACTTTTGAACGAAAGTGTTTGCTAGGAAAGGATTCTTGATTTAACCAGGAAACAATATTGATAAGAAAAAGAGTGTACTAACAAACACAATTTACCTGAACAAGGGAATCTCTGCTAAAGAGATCTGCAGTTTGGCCTCTTTTGTACTAGCGTTACATCGGAAAATATGCAGAACAAGTGAGTATCTATCAAGAACTTTTACTCCCCAGGCTTCCTGTAATTCTTTCTGAAACACAAGTATAACACATTGTTACTGACATTTCAATTACAACAGTATTCAAAGTAGAACTTATTATGATAATATTACAGCCACAGAGAATCTAGTACTGTTTTATAGTAATTTTAAGAAGCTTTTGAAGTGAGCATGTATGCAATAACAGTATCATGCTCTGAATACTCACTTCCGAGGAAGGTAAAAGACGCTCCACGTTCACAAAGACAGCTGTGACCTCAGGAGTAGCTCTGATCTTTTCTTAGCAATGTATCAGAGCATATTAGTAAAGATGTCAATTTGTGTCTAAAATATATTATTTATTCAAAACCAGTAAGCTATATACCTGTCAGAGTCTGGAAGTTTCCTTTGCCGAAAATTCTTTTATTTTCTGGTGTCTTGGTGGAAAGGATGATCTTGTCAACAACGCTCCACTTGTGTAAAGTGTTCACCAGCCCAACAGCCTCTTCCATCTGAAGGGCCGCTGTTAAAGGGAACAACTCTGTATTCTGAAATATGTCACATTAATACACTACCTGAAATCAGTTCAAACAGGAGACTTTTTTTCTTTTTTTACCTGTGGTCAGATACTGCTTTCTTCTGCCCCATTTCACATCAGGATGAACAATGAAGATCCTATGGTCTTCTTTACCAATACCTGTGGGGATCTGCTGCTGGAACAGCTCCTCTATTTCAGCTTCATCAATTTCATCTTCCTCTTCCTCTGGATTGTTTTCTGTGCTGTAATTTTTGCTCTTGAACATGCAAGCTGTCAATGACAAAGTCCTTGTTGGCAGAACTGGAACTGCGACCCCAGTCTTTAAACGTTGTCTTGTGCATGGTAAGATGGAAGCAACTAATTTTGAAGAACATTGACAAAATATGATTGGTTTACATTTAGCAAAGTTTGTGTACCACCTACCCAAGACATGTTTGCATAGAAACACATGTTTGGTCAGGACACTGATCTTGTTAAGATTCATCTGCTCAGGTTCAAGTTACAATATAATCAAAGTTGCATAAACATGCAAGCGATCTAGAGCGAAATCAGCAAGAAAGCCATTTATTTTACTGTACAACTAACTCTGCGTATCATATCAGTTTCACCACGCATGTTTTGGTACGTCTTCCTCTCTTTCTTGTGTTCAACAGCAGGGTTCGTTCAACTGCGCCTCCGATAGGATAGATGAGGTATAAAATAAACTCATTCTTTATTTTTTTATTTTTTCAAATACGCAATTATTTCAACTTCCTGATTTTTAATAAATTATACATAAACTGAGAAGAAATTTAAGTGTTTATGCTTTGTTCAATAGTTAAACATAATCCATCCACACGAAGAAAAATATTACTTCTGACCGAGGACTTTTATTTTGAACGTATTTTAGTGGGCGTAAAGTAAACCTGCAATGCATGACTGTCAATGTCTATGGTCTGTTCTGAGCAGTAGCCTGTTATGTCTGGTATCTTTAAGGCAATGTCGAGTGAGTAGATATATATATTTTGTTGTGTCTTCGAATTATACTATTCCATGTATTTTATTTGCTGATTGTTGCATCCCTCATTTCACTTTGCATTGAAAAGTTCATACTGGACTGATTAAATGTGCAAATGTTTGAACTTAAAAAACACTTTTTTATAAATGTTTTGAGCTTTTGTAGTTCACTTATCATGCGTTGACTGTGCTTTTAGCTTCTATCACCCAAACCTACAATGAAACTAAAAACATGTTTTTATTTTTGGTTTGACTGCATCTGCTTTGACAAAAATACAAAAGCGCAGAGTTCCAAAACAAAACCCAACAGATAAAAGACAGCTGGTTGAAAAAGTTATAAGAGTGAATCATTTATCCTGGAGCAGCTAATAAACAAACTTGATCTTCTGCCCCCCTAGAGTTTCGTCTGGCTGTGGTGCAGTTACATGTGTCAAAGATTAAGGCTGACAACTTGGGAAGAGCACAACAACTTGTGAAGGAGGCTGCAGGCCAAGGTGCAAAAGTTGTAGTTTTACCTGTGAGTATTACATTCTCTATCTTAGATTATACAGTAGTCAACATTTGAAGGGGATCAAAATCTTTCATGAAAGTTATACATGGATTTTGAACAATACCCGTTCTTGTCTTAGGACAACTTTGATTAATTTTTTTGATCCACTTCAAATGTTGACTACTGTATATTACTCTTCACCACTGATGCATAATGAATGTGTTTGATTGCTACATAAACATTGGTTTGTGGAACAATATGATTTTTAATAATCCTTTATCCATGTTTTTTTGTAGGAGTGCTTCAACTCCCCTTATGGAACCGGGTTCTTTGCTGAGTATGCTGAGAAGATCCCAGGAGAGTCCACACAGGTGTTGTCAGAGGCAGCCAAGGAGTGTGGGGTCTATTTAGTGGGAGGTGAGACCCTCAGACACAAACCAGCAGATTGGTGTGGTTGATGCCATTCATTTCTAGTCTCTTACATGATTGTGTCTATGTTGTAGGTTCCATTCCTGAGGAGGATAGAGGGAAGCTCTATAACACCTGCTCAGTTTTTGGACCTGATGGAAAGCTGCTTGTCAAACACAGGAAAGTGAGTGACAGTAAAAAAAAACATTTATAATGTTACAAAAGATCTCAGCTTCAAATAAACGCTGTTCTTTTGAACTTTCTATTCATCAAAAAATCTTATCACAGTTGACACAAAAATATTAAGTAACACAATTGTTTTCAGCATTAATAATAATAAGAAGAAATGTTTCTTAAACTCCAAATTTAAGAAAATTCCCCCCCCCCCTTTCCTTCAGATTCACCTCTTTGATATTGATGTACCTGGGAAAATACGGTTTCAAGAGTCTGAAACACTAAGTCCAGGAAACAGTTTATCCATGTTTGAAACACGTGAGTGTTATAGTCGTCTTCACCATGTTACCTATAGATTGGTACTATATTGCTCATTGGCCAATATTAGAGATTTTTTAATAAATTTATCAGTATCAATGTTGGGTATATATCTGAAGATACTGGATTTTTGTGCATACTTATTTCCCCCATATTTACATTTAGTTAATTTGTAAAAACACTAATAAATTAATAACAGTGTTATATGTAATATTTAGCAAGTTTTAATCTGAAAATCCATTTACAGTTGTGTTTACATTATAATTTCCTGATGCCTAAATTCACTTAAAGCCTTTAAAACAATTGATTTATGTTTTTGTGTTTATTTTAAATGTATCTACAAAAAATATATTATCATTTCAATATTGGTCATTTATCAATTATTGCCTTATAAATATTGGTAAACATCTCCAATGTTACCTTTATATATTTGCTCTTCCCAGATGTATAGTCACACAGTTTATGTCTTTCTTTGCAGCATTTTGTAAAATAGGTGTGGGAATATGTTATGACATCAGGTTTGCAGAGCTTGCACAGATCTATGCCAAGAAAGGTGAGAGTTCTTAAAATGGTATATGTGAACATTTGAATAAAATAAAAATGAAAACTTATGCTTTTTTGAATAAAAACTTATGCTTGATGGGATTTCTTCACATCTCTGTCTATGTAGGTTGCCAGCTTTTGGTATATCCTGGTGCCTTCAATATGACCACAGGACCAGCTCACTGGGAGCTTCTGCAGAGGGGGAGGTCAGTATCCCAGACCACCTAGAGTTCCTGAACTATTCAGTTCTCCCTTCTCCATTCCCCTGTAAGACAATCTGTGTCCTTTTCACAGGGCAGTAGATAATCAGGTATATGTGGCCACTGCTTCACCAGCAAGAGATGAGACCGCCAGCTATGTGGCCTGGGGTCACAGCTCTGTGGTTAACCCTTGGTAAGTGCTTTCTATCTTATTTGCTACAGGTTATGCATACATTAAAATGGATTATCATGGTTTGGTACCTGTGCCTTCTTTCCTTGCAGGGGGGAGGTAATTACCAAAGCTGGGTCAGAGGAATCTGTTGTATATGCTGACATAGGTGAGTTTCAGTGTTTTACATTAATTTAAATTGTGAGCTATATAGAGCCATTTGAGCATAATGCAAACATACACTTCCTCTTCTGCTTGTAGATCTGCAGTATTTGGCTGATGTGCGTCAGCAGATCCCAATCACTACACAGCGACGGCATGATCTATACAGTGTTAACAGTGTTCAGGAGGGCTGAACACTCGTACAGACAAAGTACTGCAGTGGACATTAAATCTTGATTCATGGCAGATTTAGTCAGCACATGTCAGATGTTAGAGTGAAGCCTTCATCGGTGGACTGTGAACAGCAAGTGCCTCAATTTGTACTCTTGCTGATGCTCTTACAATGAAAAATTATATTTGGAATAAATAAAAGAGGTCTTTCATTCCTTCTTTAACATCTTAATATAGTGGTTAAAACATTGGAAAGTTAATCCTGGACAGGTAAAGTGGTGCATTAGAAAAATATTAAGCATGATATTATTAAGTGTTACGGAACTGCGCAGAGACTTGGGGTTGTAGATCCAAAGGCAGCTTTATTGAGGGTAATCTATACAATCGCAATCCATATAACAAGCATAGGGTCAAAACCCCAGGGCAAACCAGATAATAACAGTCCAAGACACAGGGAAATTCATGGAGACAAGAAGATCACAAACATGACACTGAAAACCAGAAATAATGCTCAGAAATGCAGTGTAACACATACAAGTCGTTGTAAAGAGTGAGAGAAAATACAGGGCTTACATACAGATATTAACAAGCTAATGACACACAGGTGGATGTAATCACATGATAATGTGTCCAGGCAAAGGTTAATGGGAAATGTAGTTCCTGATGGAATGGTAAAGGACTTGGGAGGAGTCAAAATAAATGCCTGTTAATATTGCCATTGTATTACAGCCTAAAGAACTGTTTTTTTTTTTTGCCAACTATTGGAGTAAATTGAATTGTTACATGGGTAATTTATGAAAGTGCGTATCTATACCACAAATTTTATTTCTTGTGCCATTTATATGGCAAAAATAGTTTTTGCGTGCATATACGCAGTTTTCGCCTGCAGATGATACGGACTTTATGTTGTGTAATACGCACGCACTCCGCACCCATAATCCTACCAAAGGGGTTTAAAGTGCGTAGCATACGCACGCAAAAAAAAAACATTTTTGGCGTATAAATGGCACGAGAAATAAAGCACTTTCATGAGATTGTGTTGGATTATAGTTAACACTGTAAGCAGCATTGATTAATGAAAGAAATAATTAGTTAAAAATATTGTTCCAGGATTGGAAAGACAAACAATTCAGGAATTCCAGTATGTTTAATCCATAAAAAATAGGAACTTGGTCTCTTAAGAATGGAATGGGAGTTTTTGTTGTTGTTTTAAAATCACATAATCTCTGTGGTTTACTCACAAAGATGTGTTTTCTGGCTTAGTGACCAGTTATGTACAATGTTGTATGGGTTGGCATGGTAACTGCGCTCTCTTTTCATGCAGGGGTGAAGTTGACAAAAGATGGGTCAGGAGGCTTTTGAATAATTGCTGACATAGGTGAGTTTGATAACTGTTGCATTTTAGATCATTTAAAGTAAGGGCTTTAGGAGTTATTTAAAACTGCTACTCACAAAAAGCTATTCAGTTCCCAATATGACATGGTCATCTCTGTCTTGATTTAATGTATTTTCGAAGAACATTCACTTATTGTACACTACCGTTCAAAAGTTTGGGGTCAGTGAGAATTTTATTTTTATTTTTTGGAGGAAAGAAATCAATACTTTTATTTATCAAGGACAGTAAAGACATTTATAATGTTACAAAAGATTCTATTTCAAACAAATGCTGTTCTTTTGAACTTCCTATTCATCAAAGAATCCTAAAAAAAATAAAAAAAACTGTACAACTGACAGACCAACAACTGTTTCAACATTGATAATAATAATAAATGTTTCTTGAGCATCAAATCCTCATATTATACTGATTTGTGAAGGATCATTTGACACTGAAGACACTGACACTGGTGATGCTGAAAATTCAGCTTTGATCACAGGAATAAATGACACTTTACTATATATTCACACAGAAAACAGCTGATTTACACTGGAATAATATTTAATACTATAACTG